AAGGCATTTTAGTTGATTTAAAATTAATTAATTAAATAAATTCAATCTATTTTTAACAGGAATATGACCGAGCAAATTTTAAATGTTTAGATACAAAGCAAGAATTCAATATAGAGGGAGGTAAAAATTTTAAAAATATTTTCACGGCCAATATGCGAAGTGTTCCCAGTTACACCCTTTGCCTAGCGCTTTCGAAATCATTTTCGGCCAGTACCCATTATATTAAAATAATTAGAAATGAATCTTATTATAAAATAAACTCAATATTAAATACCAGGGGTGTACTGAAACAGATTTTAAAAGCGAAAGTTAATAAATTAAGCGAAAGACGGAAGAGATCACATAAAGTTTGATCAAATACCCAATCTATATTTAGGATAGGTATCAGGGGTGCAGCTTGTGCCACAAAATACGAGACGAGATGCACCCCTGATAGGTATACAGCAAGGGTGTCCCTTTTACCTCATTGGGAGGCGTTTACCTCCTTCTTGGCCTTCTCGCCCCGTTTTTCCCCTTTTTCTATATTGTCCACTTTTTAGCTTTTCTGAAAATGGAAGAAATTTGGCTCCTTGGTTTTTTGGCTCGACTTTTTGGCCAATTTCGCCACCTATTTGGGAGGCCATCACCCCTTGTGGTAATTTGTAAAGGGACACCCTGATAGAAAGATATAATAAAATGCAAGGACAGTTTTGTTTATTATTTATTTTAAACAGGTGGAAAATTGTTTTCCATGTATAAAGAATATTTAATTGATAATACAAAGAAATCAATCCGAACAGAAAAATCTTATTTGATGGATTTAAATGCTTCAATAAATTTTTTTATAATTGAGATTGCAGTAATTTTAAACAAATTAAATAAATTATTAGAAGAAGAAAAAATTAATAAATTAATGAATGAATGGAACATTATAGTATTGAATAATGAAAAACAAATGGAAATTGAAACTGATAGTCAATTGTTTTTATGTGAAATATATGTTTTTGCTAATGAGAATTTGTTTAAAAATAAATTAATTTATAATTTGAAATTAGAAGAAATTGAGAAATTGGTTTGTTTGTTTCTTGAAAAAGTGAAAAATTGATCAAATTTTGTCCAAAATAGTCCAATCAAAGCGTTGTTTGATCGTTTTTAGAAAAAAACCCAAAATTTTCAGAAATAAATTGATCAAAGCCTTGACCACAAAAATCTGAGTGATTTTTTGAATGGGTTATGTAAATGATGATTAATTGAAGTTTCGTGGCTCCAGCACCTCTTTTCTATTGGTTTCGGCTTCGGGTGTTTTCAAAACATATCTCCGTCTCCTGCCGATTCCGACTACATAGATAGCTCCATTAATTATTCTACTATATTAAATTTAAGGAACAAATAATGGAAATTGAAGAAAATGAAGATGAAAACTTAAAATGTACTCAAGATAATTTTAAAATAATTTCCAAAAAACTATTCGAATCCAGACTTCCAAATGAAAATCATTTTGATTGCATTGATTGGTTCTTAGAAAATTTAGAAACATTTCGTCAATTAATTTGTAATTCTGAAATTATTTTAATGAAAACATTTTTGGTTAATCTTGTCGACAAAGAAGGATTATTATTATTAGAATTAAAACATCCGTCTGTCTTGCAAATTAGTTTGGTTTTTTTTTGATTTTTAAATTATAATTGAACTGGCAGAGGGAATAAAATTGTACCTTGATTGTATATAATTAAGGAATTAGAAACGTCCAAGCCTAGCAAGCCTAGCATCCTAGCCTAGCAAGTAAAGCAAAATGGGATCTTTGAGCGGTTAACAACCCTGTAGCTCTTCGCCGGAACTGCCAATTTGACCGGAACCGGAACCGGAACAAAAAAATCCCGGAACTTCCGGCGAAGCTCTACAACTTTGAATCGGAGACTTTGCAACCTTGCAAAAGGACATTGCTTTTTTCTGGGATATTCGGCCGTTTTACTTTGTCTTAAACTGAAGTGGATTGTTTCTATTGTTTCTATCATATAATGAGGCCCGATATATTAAATATTTTTTAAATACATATATTTAAGATGAAATTCAAAAAGATGTCCAAATATATTTGTACAAAAATTACCTTCAATTTAATGAAAATATGCCAGAATCTTTAATGGCAGAAATACGTATTGCCATACCTTTATTAATTAATGAAATTACAATTTATGAGAAATTTACAATTCCAATTCCAAAAGCAGAAAAGATTTATTTAGCAATTTTAGAAAGATCAAGATGGCTAAAAACAAAAATATTTAATAATAAAACAGCGCTAGGAAAGATTATCAATTCAGAAAATTTATGTCGACTTTATAATTTTGTTAAATTTTCAAAGCCAATAATTAAATCTAAATTGGCAAAAATGGTACAATTAGGAGAAGGAATTAAAATCAATATAAAAAATTTTGGATTAGTTGATAAAAATACAAAAAATATAAAAATTAAAGCCGAAGAAATTGAAAAATGGACTGGGGATGAATGTTTAAATGAGGAAGAACAAAAAATAGCTTTGAAGGGCAACGTTTATTACTTAAAGTTTGTAATAATTTTGAATAAGCAAATGATAATTAAAGCACTGGGCCAATAAATTTTTTTTGAGTTAACCTGAATCCAGACCCAATACCTTTATAATTCACTTTTTCAATCTTTGGTTGGCCAATACTAGCCCGTACTTCATGGTTGATAACTTTTGATCAACGAAGACCGTATCCGCACTCATATCGATATTCGCTTCGCTAAACTTCGCTTCTTGTTTGATCCAATCTTCTGTATCTACGCCTTGCATGGGATCAAATAGTCCTATAACCAATTCGAAAAATCTTTCTAGCTAGATACATCTCGATTTAAGAAATTTCTTTTAATTTGGTTGTTTATTAGTTGAGAGTAGGGTTGTACGAGGTCGAGGCCTCGCCAAGGCCGAGATCCTCACCCATTTTGCAATCTCGGTCTCGGATTGGCTCTAATAAAAATTTTATATTTTAATTTTTAATTAAGGAAGCACACAAAAAAATCTTTGAACAAAATTTCCTTGCTTTCAATAAAATATTAAACAAAAAAGGAAAAAAGTTTAGAATGAATAAATTACTTCCAGAATTTGTTTTGAAATTTGAAAATAAAAGTTTGTGGTGTTTTTAAAATAAATTTTTTTAAATTTTTTTTATAGTTTTTGAAAATCAAAAAGAACAAATTTCACATTTTATTAAAGCTTTATTTTCTTTAAATGAAATAGAAAGATTGGCTAATTTAATTGCTAATAATTTTTTTCAATGGAATAATTGGATGAAAAAACAAATTTTAACAAAATTTAACAAAAATAAAGAATATAATTTTTATAAAATTTGGTTTTCAGAAGAAACAATTTGGAGACTTTCAAATAAATATGATCAAATATTTGATATAACAGAGAAAGGAATGGAACAACTTGAAATTTTTGAACAAAAAATAATTAAAATACAAATGGGATTAAAATATTTATTAATTAACAAAGAAATTTTTGAAATTAAAAATAATGAAGGTACTAATAGTAATTAGGGAAGATCTCTACCCCGAATCACGGCCTTTTTTGAGCTAAAACCCCATCACCCCGACCTCGAAATTTTAGACCCCAAAAAGTCGGAGAGGGGCAACATTTGTAATAACTGCCTCCTGGATATCCAATCCTAATTATCTTTTCGTTCATACTCAAAATTACAAGATTAAGAATGCACAAATTAAATAAAAAAATAAATAAAATAGAAATAATAATAATTTAGAAATAAATGAAAAATGGGAAAAAATTGAAGAAAATAATGAAGAAAATTGGAATAAAAAATGGAATGAATTATTATTTTCAGAATATAATGAATGGATTAAAAAATTAAATATGAAATGGTTATTAAATAAATTAAATAAAAAATCTGATAGAGAAGAAATACAAATTTTGAAAAATATTTTATATAATTGTAAAGTTTATTTTTTAAATTCATTTTTAAATTTCATCAGCACCGTAAAAATCAGAAAATAGAGGGAACAAATTTGAATAGAGCGTGCCCGTTTTGAAAAATCATAACTTTGAGCGTTTAGTGGTCTCGTCTGCGGGTTTAGAATCTTAGCTTTTAATTATTAAGTTTAATTACTCTCTCGTTTAATGAAGTAATTATGTGAGTAACTACTTAAATTACAGATCTGAAAAACAAAGAAACTGAAGATATTAATCAATTTCTGAGCAAAATAGTTGTGTTTACTCAGTTGGAATATGAGGATCTGATGGTTTGTTTGGGATTGAAAGAGAATACAGAAAATAAAATTGAAGAGGAAGAAGAAGAAAATAAAAATAAATTAAAAATAAATAAAGAAAGAATAATAACAAATAAAAAGAAGAAAAATAAATTAATCAAAATAAAATCTACTAAACGGAAAAATAAAAAGGATAAAGCTGACAAGAAAATAAATACAGCTTTTATTTATAAAAATTTTAATAAAAATAAAATTGAAGAAGAGGGGGAAGAAGATGTAGAAGGAAAACAAGAAGAAACCGTAGAAGAGGAGGAAGAAGAAAAGGAAGAAGAAGAGGAGGAGGAAGGAAGTGAAAATTATTTAACGGAAGTATCTGAAAATGAATCAACAGAAAATAGCAATTCAATCATTTCTACTAATTTATTTAGTACTGAAAGTAATTCTAATAGTGAAGATATAGTTGAAGAAAAGGTTGATGAAACCAAGGATAAAGAGAAGGTAAAGGATATTAATAGTAGTAGATCATGATTTTTTCAATGTTAGATTCGTTAAAATTTGGGGATTTTCGAAATTAGACTTGGGATACATGCCTCTTATAAAATACCTGATATTTATTTTAATAAAAATTATTTAAAAATAAAATTAAGAAAAATCGAGAAATATATCTATATTTTTAGGGTTCATTCAAAAATAAAATTGAAATTAATGATTGGTTGGAATCAGTCAATTTGGCAATCTTTGGCTATGATTTAAATCGAAATATTAACACACAATATTTAGCAATGGAAAATAGTAGATATTCTCAAAAATCTTTTGATTATGTTACTAAAGCGGTAATTTAAAAATAATTAATTGTGAAAGGTTGGGGAATTTTGGGGGATTTTTAGAGATATATTTGAAAGATTAATTCATACATAGTTGACATTGTATTTTAGTGTTTTCTAAAAAATTAATGATAGGGAGATAACCTTAGATAAAGAAGATCAGTCGGATAAATAATTTTCTAATTTTTTAATTTTTAGTTGAGTGAAGTGATTATTGATCAACAATATATGTTTGAGAAACAAAATAAAAAATTGGATTCTGTAGATAATGCAATAAATTATTTAAAACAAATTTTAAATAAATGGGTAAATATTTGAATTTAAAAAATAATTATTTTAATTTTTAAAAAAAGGATGAAGATTCTCGTTTAATTATTTCTGGTTCACTTTTATTAAATGCCCAGATTTTTGGTTCAGACATTGATTGCCTTGTTGTTTTACCTAATAAACAAATAGAAATTAATAATTGGGAAATTATTTTTGAAGAAAAATTTTTTGGAAAAATTTCTAATAAATGTAACATTAAATTGAGAAAATGTGAGGAAGAAATGGATAATTCTCTCTATTGTTTACTTTGTAGAGTAAGTTAAAATTGTTTTTAATTGTTATTATTAGAGAGATGGGATGTTTGGGGGTTAATTTGAGCATTTGAACGATCATAATAGGCGGTTGACGATGATAAGGTTGTCGAAGTGGCCGGCTTCGGACTGGAACTTTGATTTTGAAATGCTCGGAAACGGAGTCACAAAAACCAAATACCTAGCACAGATGTTTCAAAATATTTCTAGTAAAAATTGTTCCCCCATTTTATGACTACATTAACCAAGATCACCTCTCTCTCCCTCTACTAATTTTATTTTATTTTTTTCAAAGGATGTCAGAATTCAATTTATCAAAAAAATTCCTGGTCGAGTACCTTTAATTAAAATTAATTTTCTTGGTTATGATTTTGATTTAATTTTTATTTTATTTTCAAAAAATTTATTTAACCAAATTAATTCAATTTATCAAAATAATAAACAACCAAAAATAAATGAAATTGATGATATTATTGCAAAATTTGTTTTTGAATTGGGGGGACCTGAAGAAATAAATAATGGAAATAATAAACATTTTGGGATGGTTTTGGCACTTTCTGGTTATTTTTTTGTTGTTGAAATTTAAATATTTATTTATTTAAAGGTTATCGTTCAAATTTACAAATAAATTTAATGACAGAATACAACAAACATTCATTTCGTTTAGCATTATTAACACTTAAAGTTTGGGCAAAAAGTAAGTCAAATAAAAATTTTGTTCGAAACATGTTTTACTATAGAAAAAAGTCATTTTAAATTTATGAGAATTTATTTTAAAATCACTAAAAATCTTGGGAATATAGGAAAAGAGGCAAAAGTTTAATAACAGGTTAATAACACTGCTCCTGTGACCTCCTAGCAGTTATTGTAAGGCACCTTCACACCGAGATTCATCTTCCCTTTTAATGATCTGGATCTCCCTTCTTCCTTACATTATTTAAAAAAACTTTAAAAAACAGATAATGTTCAGATAAAATTGCCTAATTTGTTAACATTTTTGAGTTATCGTTCATTCCCCTGAAGCCTCGCCCTCCTCCTCCAACCCCTAAAAATCTAAAATAATCTCCAAATGTTATTTAGATAATCACATTTATGGAGCACAATATGGTTTCTTTGGAGGTCCAGCTTTGTCAATAATTCTTTGTTATATTTTAAATTTATATGGCAATAATGTTCCTCCTCCTCCAATTTTTATTTTATTAAAAAATACTTTAGAATTATTTACTTTTAGGTAATTATTAAATAAATTTAAAATAATCTCTTTTAAATTAAAAAAGATTTTGGAATTCACCATTAATGTTAGAAATTCCTCAAAATTATTTAGATATTCGAAATTTGTTAGATTGGAATTTAAATAAAGAATCAGAAAATCGTTTAAAATTAATTCCAACAAATTTACGTAATTATTTAATTAAACATTCACAAATTATTTGGCCAATTATAACACCTGGTTTTCCTACACAAAATGTTTTGTTTAATATTAATGATTCTACTTCACAAATAATAGAGAGGGAAGTACATAAAGGATTACAAAAATTGGTGATATTACAAGATAACATTAATCAAAATAAACCTTTATGGACGTTTAAAAATCTTTGGGGAAATTTTTTGAAGAAAGAAGAAAAGTTTGAAGAAAAGGTATGTTAGTTATTAAAAAAGCAAAGAATTTGAAAACCCAGAACCGGAGCTATAGGATATACATATTAGAAGGATAGTTCTCTCGTTTAGGACTAGGTTGGTGGATCTGGATCAGGGCTGGACGCAATTGCGGATTGCGTGAAATTGCGTGTTTTTTGACTTGCTGATTGCGTATTGCGGCTGAGGATTTTAAAATTAAAATTGCGTCCAGCCCTGATCTGGACATCTAAATCTGAAAAAAGTCCGGATATCAGTAAAATTTCAGTTTGGATATCGGTTCCAGATCAGGATATCCGAGGAGTTCCCAGCATCTGTCAGCCCTACCTAGGGCATCTGTTCCGCTAGAATCTACATATATGCCTTAATCAAGAGCGAAGAATTTGAAATTAAAGTATCGAAAATAGCTTCTTCTTTCTTTTTCATTGGGTCTCATTGAAGGGCTTCTATTAGGATATAAAGTTAATTAATTAATAAATTTTAAGTACAAGCATTATTTGTGTATTGTGTGTAGTTATTCAAATAAAAGTGAATATGGTTCTGATTTTTGTGATTTTGTTGGAACTAGAATTAGATTACAATTATTATTTTCTATAGAAATATTGCCGTTTATTTCTTTTTGTCATTTAAATCCAAAAAAATTAAAAAAAGAAAATGAAAAATGTTTTTTAAAAGAAGAAGAAGAAAATAATTATTGTACAATTTGGTTAGTAGGGATTTCAACAAAACAATGGTATAAACAAAAATTTGAAGGAAATGAGTGGGAAAATGCTTTAAAAAATTTTGTATATTATATTGAACATTCTGGTTTTAGAAAAAAATATCAGGAAATTTCAGCAAAAGAAGGGGGGAATTTATTTAATTTAAATGTTTTGTATTTAACAAGTGAACAAGTAAAGAATAAATGGAATTTTTGAAAGAAGAATTTTTAAAAATAATTTTATAATCAGATTTTTGTAAAAAAATTCTGAAACACCGCAAAATAAATTGTAAAGCTTATAAAATAATAAATTGTAAATTGAAAAATATTTTTTAATTAAAATGCTATTTAAAAATGCTATTTAATTCCTAAGGACTATCTAATTTTCTATTTATCTATTGAAGATACATGAATTAGATTAACGGAGGTGGTTCGTTCCCAACCGCCGAATAACTTTTGTACTAGCCGAAGGAGAAATAGCTATGGCCCAACTCTGATTTACTAATAGAAATTTTAATTCTAAAATATTTTCGTGGAGCATATTTTTTTAATTTTAATAAATATTTTCTTTTGTTTTTTTCGATTTCTATTAAAATTTAATTATTTACTACCATAAATTCTCTAATAGAAGCACATTTCTAATATAAACACACCCTGCGAGAGGATCAAAAAATAGAAGCACTATGCTTCAATTAGAGAATTTACGTGACTATTCTATAAGGAGCTTTCCCAATGGCCGACAAACTTTAAAGAAATAACGTATATACGGGATTTAACGCACAATGTCGGTGATGTACAAGCAAGGTCCGACTTATACATTAAAATCACAAAGGTATTATAACGTGTCTTTATTATGATATACATAGAGCTTTATCTTGTAGAAAAGTCTAAATTTTATAACGATAAGGTTTAAAGTTTTTTGCATTAAAATTAAAACGCTTTAAAAAAGCAAAATTATTTCATGAAGGAAAATTAAAACCATCCTTTCATCCACTTCCAAGCACCCTTAACTCCTTCCTTGGCTTTATTACAATAATTAGAAGCTGCTTTTTTAACTTCATTAATCCCAGAAACAATGACATGACAAACAACTTCTATTGCTTTACATGCAGAAATAACAGCTTCACAAGTTTTAACAACAACATGAGAAGCATAAATAACGGATCCGACCACAGCACCTGTTACAGCACCAACTACGCCCCCAACAAGGGCGCCTGCGCGCCCTGCGACTGCATATCCAACACCGGCACCAACAGCAGCCCCAGCAATTGTTGTACCGATAACTACGTTTCTAAAACTTTTGGAATGATTCTGAGGGCCGTAATTGACATAATCGTTGCTTTCAGACTGGCCTGAAAATTAAACAGAATTTTTTTCTAATGTTCTGACATTTTTAATCAGAATATTAGAACAAATTTATAATAAATTTTAAAGATTTATCTGTCGATAACGCTAAACCACACCTGTATTTCTAGGAATATCATTAGATCTAGTTTCTTCATTAAGATTTGGTTCATCATTTGAAGACACGTTCGGATCTCGAAATAAAATATTTTATTAGATATAAATTTTTTAAAATTTTTTAAGAAAAAATAAAAAATTTTCTTAAAAATTGAATTTATATAATTTAGACTCCGAACGCTCCAGAGAGGGTATCTTGGGGATAATTTAAAATCTCTGATGTAATATACACTCTTCTAACTATATAGAATGACTTCAAATTAAATTTCTATTAAATCTCAATTTTATTATCATCTTTACCTTCTTCCTTTTTTGGCATCCTGTGACGAGTTCTTTGTTTCATCCCCATAAAGAGGGTTTCTCTGCTGAAAGTTTTCTCAAAATAATTATAGCACTTCTTGAATGTATCACTAATATAGTCTTTACAATTTTTACCAGCATCAACCATTTTATTTAATAGTCCAGATTGATTCTTTTCTAAAAAGATTAAAACAGAAAATAATAGCTATTTCCGATAAAAAAATACATAGACCCAACCCTAGTCTAAAATCGAAAGATTTTGGCCAGGTTTCCGTATATCGAAAGATTTTAGACTAGGTTTTCCGTATATTTTTGAACGTTCCTTGGTTACTAAAAATTTCATTTTCATTAGTTGTTATTATACGAAAAACTTTTTCCTGATGCTTACTTTCCCTGATACGGAAAATATCTTATCCTTTCTGATAGGAGAAAGATACTCGGCAATCACTATTTATTTTTTACCTCGTTCCATTTTATCAATTTTAGCACCCTTAATGTTTAATCTTTCTTGATTTTGCTGGGTAAATTCTTCATCGTCTTCTATTTTCTTTTCATCTGCTTTAGCAGACTTAAGCAATTCATCTGCTTCATTCAATTTAGCTTTCAGCTTTAGCTCATTCGAATTCTGGAATTTAAATAAATTTTGAAATGTAGCTTTCAGTTTAATTTTTTAAAAATTTTAATTTTGGAGGCTAAGAAATAAAAATTTTTAAGTTAATAACTGTAAATAAAGGATAAATTTTGCCGTGAGATTTAAAACATCTCAAGTTGACCCTGTGATTTTCACACGCAAGGAATTATACATACATATGTCGGCGGTAAAATTCAGATTTAGGAAAAATTCAATTTTTCCGGAAAATTTCATTTTTTCCGGAAAAATTCAATTTTTCCGAGCATTTAGGAAAATTTCAGATATTAAATTAATTTAATAGTCTGTCTTACACTATTTCGCTTGTTTTTCGTTTTTTGAGTATGTTTTTTCTTGTTTGTTTTTCTTTTGTTTTATGTTTGTTTTTTGTTGTTTGTCCTTTTTAAGATTTTCCCTTGTTTTTATTTTTTATTTTGGGTTTTAGTTCGTGCTTTTTAATTTTTGTGCTACAACTGAATGGGTAGGTCGGCATTTCAATGCTGAAAATCGGTCAAAGGAATAGGTTTACGTTACTGTTGTAGAACCCAGCGACCGTTGACTCCCGCGAGACGCGTGCCGCGAAACCCCGCGCGAAGCGCGGGGTTTCGCACAAGCGTCTCGCCGACTCTCCATAGGTTTATGTTGTTGTTTTTCGTGTGTTTTTTAAAAATCCAAACTTATTTAATATGGTGCTCTTGACTAAATCAAGAAATTTATAGATAACCCACTAAAAAACAAAAACACACATAAAAACGCAAAAAAACATAAAACTAGCCCAGACTCAACTGACATCTTTATTATTATCTGAAATTTTCCTAAATGCTCGGAAAAATTGAATTTTTCCGGAAAAATTGAAATTTTCCGGAAAAATTGAATTTTTCCTAAATCTGAATTTTTCCGCCGACACATATAGTTTGAAATTTTTGGGTCTAAGATTTTTCAGTTATTATGAGGACCTGGTTTTGGATAAGACCAGGACAATTTTTAAAAATGAATTTATAAATATTTTTTACTTTCAAAAAAACATTTTGATATTAAATTTATTAAACTTTACTTTATCTATCAAAATATTTCCTGCTTTTCCTTGAATACCTAGATCAATTATGGGAACATTTTCTTTATGTTGAGAATTGTTTACTTCATCATAAATTTGTTTCGACGTTCCTTGCTCATAAAAAATCTCATTTTCGATAGTTGTTGTTGTACGAAAAAGTTTTTCCTGATGCTTAACACTTTCGTTTTCTATTTTCCTTAAACTATCCGTTATATTTTCAATTTCTTCCTCTGGTTGATTATTTGAAGCATTTTCTTGATTCTCTACATACTCATCACATCCAGCTTAAATTCAAATTTATATTTTAATTACTTATGACTCTAGTATATTTTCAAACTACCAATAGTCAATAACAATTGTATAACATCCTACTTATATGGGACACTCATTTTTTGGCAATTTTCATTCCGGTAGACCTGGAAGGAGCTGCCGTGTCCTGGTTTTATGTGGTAAAGTATGGCATCCTCTATACGAGGGAATCATTTCTCGATCTTCTATGAGGGTCGAAAAATTTTCTCGATCTTTTATTAAACTTATAAATTTAGAAAAATTATGAAATTCACCGGAAAAGTCCAAATGAACACTTGTTTTTTCAATAAGAAGTTCCTTAGCTCCCTGAGCTACTTTACAAACATAACTCCACAAGGAAGATTTATTTTTGTCGGCCAATTTTTTTAATTTTTCATGATATTCTGCCTTTTGTCTTAATTGGAAATAACGTTCCTCTTGAACTATAGCCTTTCTAATATCATTATTCGTAGTAATTTGATCAAGTTCTGACATTTTGCTTTCAAATAATAGTTGGTCATCATTTTCTTAATACAATATTGTATATATTTTACGATACCCTTCCTCATATTTCCCTTACCATTTTGAGCAGAAGTGCTTGTTTTTGAAGATATTTTTTCGTGGCTTAATAGTTCTTCCCGATGCTTAAAATTATCATCTCCAATGTTGCTTAATCTATCCAATACATTTTCAATTTCTTCCTCTGGTTGATTAGTTGCATCATTTTTTCGATTCTCGACATTCTCATCACGCCCATCATTTTCATCATAATTGTATCCTTCAATTTATGAAATAATTTATATTTTAATAAAGATATATAATCCTATCAGAAGAGTCCAAATATTCACTCGTTTTTTCAATAAATCCTTCTTTAACTTTCTCAGCTACTTTCCACAAAGTTCCCCAAATAGTAGATTTTTTATTTCCATCATCCAATTTTCTTTCCCTTTCATGGAGTTCTGACATTTCTTTTTCTAGAATATTGCGTAGCTCATCATTTTCAGCCTGTGTAATCACACTATTTGTACGTTTTTGATAATATTCTGTTAATTTTCTTTCATTTCTCAATTTTTGGTCGTCATAATCTTAATATGCATTTTTTAACACGTTACTAAATATATATGACCCCACCTAATTCCCGTCTCAACCAAAAAATTATACGTTAACCGGACATAATCAAACCCAAAAAATTAATCTCAACCCTCGGTTTAATTAGAAAACCTCGATCTCCCTATTCTATTTACTTATGATATCACAAATATTTTTTATGAACTATTTATGAATGATCCACAATAAGATAAAACCAATAACTTATGAGGCTAACTGCAATATAAAATTTAATTTGTACCATTATCTATTCCAGACATAGATTCAGAAGAATAAATTTCTATAAAATTTCAGTAAAAATAAAAAATATAGATTAAATATACATAAAACTTAGTAGTTTAGTTAATTAATTTAATAGAATTTTTAAAAAATGTAAGGAGGAACGAATGAAATTGAAAAGCGTAAGAAGAAGAGTGAAAGAATCAACATCCCTAGTGTGTACTCGGTCGGGTTTCAGGTCTGGTTTTTTTGGTTTTAGTCGGGTACCGGGTTGAAAAAAGTCCGGGGTAACATCCCTAGTGTGGGCTCCTCAATAAGATAAAACCAATTCAATATTTAAATTTAGTATAAGCTTATTAAAATTTTTGATAGTGAAACATATATTATTATTTTTACAAAAAATTAAACTCTAATAATAGATAGAGATGACTAAGTTTATTCGTTTTATACATAAATTGAAAGTAGAAATGGATAAACAGAAACAAATGTTAAAAACAAAAAAATTTTTGTTTAATCCAAAATAAACACTTCAGTCAATTATTCCAAAATATATATTTCAGCAATGAATTATGTTTATCTGTCAATTAATTTGGAAGAAATAGTTTAGTTCGGGAAAGGCTAAAAATAGCAAAAAAAAAATTTTGAAAAATTGTAACATATACATACTTTTCAAAGGGACTAAATCGGGGCAAAAAATAGTTAAGCTAACGGATCTAAAAAGATAGTGTTGCTCAAATTTTTGTAGATTTTTCCGAATGTTAGAAACATTAAAATCCGTTCTTAACACACCATATTTCCATTTTACCAAGTATTACTAAATCAAATGAAAGAATAGTTTATTAAAAAATATTTTTTTGAAAATAATCACACATTTTTATCAATTTTTTGAAAATTAAAAACTTCAACTTTATTCCCAATATAATCCATTGCATAAATTTTATCGTCATACATTGCTAATGCAGTCCAAAGCCAGAGTCTTTTTTCATTAGCTTGTTTTTCTTGTTTTATTCTTAATCGTGCTGTTAATTTGCCATCCTTTTAAAAATTTAGAGATTTTATGAACCAAAAAATGGCACATTTTTCAAAAAATATTTTTAATAAAGAGCTTTATATCCAAAAATTTTATTTTTCTCTTAAATTTTGTCTTTATTTTTATAAATATTTTTATACAACTTCATCTTAAGAGATGGTTCAAATTTAGTCATCTACTGGATAAAAGAGGTCTGTCTAAGCAATAATCACAATTTACTTTAGTATAAGACGATTTTTCAGCCCCAATGGTGATTTAAAGGTAAGCATTTTCTTAGTCCTATTATCAGTCCCACAATCTTTATTTTAATTCTTTCCAACTTTTTCCCATATTTTAATAAGAGAGTAATTTCAAAATAATTTTTAAAAAAATTACCAAATTAAACATCAACATTTCTCGCTTCATTCTACTTGCAGCAATTAAAATAGCATTTCCATCTGGACCAGTAAGCATTTGTAAAGCACTTATTGACATTGTTGGATTAGATTCTAATGTGTTGTTAATTTCATTAAATGTTCGTAAAATTTGTCCATTTTGTACGGCAATTTGAAGAATCCCAGAGGGACAGGCAACTAATAAGGAACGGGTTTTTTGTTCTCCACCTCGTGCCAAAGATTGACAATGTTGGTGAGACAAACGAATTGGTATGGGAGAATTGGCAGATTTTAAGTTGTTAGAAATGTTGTAAGCATCAATGCGAGCCTCAAATCTTCCCAGCGTGTAAACCTTGAAGAAGAAATATTTTTAGGTCAAAATTAATCAAGTTATTAACGTTTATGTATTTCAATTAGACTTAATATTACCAATTTACGAACTTTGACAAAAGAGATTGATAAAATTACAGTCGAACGCTTTAAGACCCCCTCAAAGGTTGAAAGTCGTAACTTATATTAGCTAAGACTGCCCATCGGTCTTGTAATGAGGTATCTGAAAATGGGGTTTAATTGCATTGTGATTTTATCATAGTAAAAAAGTAAGCCAACTCAACAGTAAATTAAACTCATATGTATAATAGATTAGGTAACTAATAAAATTTAATATTTAATTAACAATACAATATTTCCTTCGACAACAATCTCTTTTGCTGGTCGCTCCAATATTTGTTCTGCCAAAATAATTCCTGTTTCCATATTACACATTTGTAAAAGTTTAAAGCTTGAATCCAGTACCACCGCAAAAGTAGAATTTAATGGTCGGAGACGATAAATTGACATTGGCAGTTTCATTAAACGTACAACACTAACAAATGTTTTTTATTGAGATATAAGCAAAAAAGATTAAACAAATTTTTATGTCAATGATTATCATTGGAAAGTATTTAATGGTAGTAGAGCTCTAAATGGATCTGAGCTAAGGTTTTGGATTTTCATGTAAACCGTATCCTAGCCTGGGGAAATTTTGAATTTGCTGACGTTTTCCTAGACTCTCTATCTTCAACTAATAGATATTTTAATTGAATAATCTAACATAATAATTTTTACTTTGTATCCAACGCCCTCAATTCAATCAGGCCATCAGCTTTAGCTAATAATAAACGTTCCTTCCATTCATTATCTAACACTAATGAGAGACCCATAAATTTAGACTCTCCATTAGACGGTCCAAACTCCGTGATCTTCTCAAGTAAATACTCATTAATTGAATGCTCTTTAGTCGGAATATTTGGCAATAAATTATTTTTGGGATTCTGTATATTTTTAGAATTTTCTGGAATTATTGTAGAATTGGTTGTTGTTGTAGTAATTATGCTAGTAGTTGTTGTTTTGGGTAAGGGAAGGGCAATTCTGTGCTTTCCTTCTAGCAAGGAATCAGGCTGATCAGTGGCCAAAATTAAAAGGCTAATAATCGCTATTAATGCGCTAATTAATAAAAGAGAAATTAAAAAATAACTTTGGGCTGAATTCATTTTTTTATATTTTTTTAATAAATTTAGAAAAGAAAATTTTAGTTTCTTTTATTTTTAGAATAAATTTACATTCCAAATATTTTTATGGGTTAGTAAAAATATAAAAAGATTTTATCTTAATAATTAAAAGCTTTTCATTTTCAATTAAAGACAATGAGAAATTAAATAATAATTAATTGAAAAGGAAAATAGAAAATATTTAATCAAAATTAGGATATTTTAAAAATTTTAAAAATCTTTTAATGTTAGAAAAGTAGATTTTCGAAGACATCGAGATTGGAAATAATTTTGCTTTCTACCTTCATTTTTTGCTTTATAGGTGTGGAACTTTAAAATTATTAAAAACTTTTATTTAAAAAATATGCGATACTCTGGGAGTTCGAAAGTTTAGAAATGTTTCGATTTTCGTTTTTTTTTCCATTTTTTGATTTTCTAATGTTTCACTTTTTGTGAAAAATATTTTTAAAATTTTAAAAAAAGTCTAACAATATTTACTAAATTCGCAACATTAATTTTAAATTATGTCTAAAACCAAAATCTGTTTCTGTAAAATCCAATTAAAATAAAAATTAATTTTTAATTTTATTCGAATAAAAAAACAAAATATATAAATGTGGCAACCAATAGCAAAAAAAGAAAATAATAAAATAATATCTGTGAAGAAAATAAATGCGTAAATGTTTATCAAAAATATTTTTTTAATTTTCAAAAATTATGCGGAAAGGGGAAAGTTGATTTATTGTAAACTCTCAAAGTAATTAATTATTTTTAATATTTCTTACAAGCAGTTTTGGACCCCCACAAAATTTTTATGAAGGTTGCCAAAGACAGAAAACAAGGAAAAATTTTTTCAGACCGTTTATTCCAAAAAATGTCATTTTAATGTGTCTCCGAGAAAAATACCTTTTTTGACCGTTAATACTAAAACAAGAACTTTAGTTAATAATCTCTGTTATGTATAAAAATATATTCTCGACAGTGAGAGAGTTTACAATAAATAACCTCCCATACATAGAAAAATTTCAGGCAAAAGATATAATTACCAAAGTTTGGAATTTAAAAATAATTGAAAAGATTAAAAAATAATCCAATAAAAAATTATTATTTTGCAAATAAAAAACTTAAATTTAAAACAGAATTATTTTCCAAACTTTTGGTAATAATAAAAAAATAATAAAATAATAAGAAACATTGAGTTAAAAATAAAATAAAAAAATACTAACATTATTTTTATTTATTTATGCTTAAGAGTGAAAATTAATAGAAGAAAGAAATACTAAAAAATAAATAAAATTAAGTAAAATTAAATTAGTTTTTTAAATTTAATTTTAAAATAATCAAAAAGGCATATGAACGCAATAAATTAAAAAAAATTTAAATTCAAAATTAATTTTAAATATCCACAAACACACATGACCTTTCCAATTTTTAATTATTTTTTTAGAATTTTCAAGTTTATAGAAAAAAAGTAGGCACTTAATTAGTTAAAAGAAAAATCAAGATTAAATTTCAAATTAATTTATTTAATTTTTGGTGAAAATAACAATGTTAGTTTTAGTTAATGACAAAATAAAAATGAGATTACAAATAAATACAATAAAATATAGTGAAAATATAAATAAATAATGATCATTGTAAAGCAATGATCAAAATAAGGATTCGAAAGAATTTTTGAAAAAATTAAAGGAATTTTTAAAATTTATTTTTATTTATTTTTAGAAGGGGATGTGTGTATATTGAATTCATGAAAATTTTTTGGAGGGGAGTCAAAGGAGAAATTAAAAAAAAATTCTCTTTGATTTTTCAACCAACACAATAT